TCAAAATCGGATATTTTTTCCTAACGGACACACATTTATACAAACAGCGTGTTCAAAAAGGGTAGGAACAAAATTTACAAATTGATCCCTTGTGCCAAAATAAGAAGAACATAGTTTCATTCAGATATCCACTGTTTTGTAATTTTTTATTAAAATTTTCATCTTTGGATTATTTTGATTGAACTTTATGAAACTTGCTATGTTTGTAAAGGTAGAATATGCTAATTTTAGGTAAAAAAATTACCTTGGTCCAATTCAAAAATTTAAAATGGCGTTCTTTTAATTTTTAAATACAAAATTATTGAAAATTGACGATTTTATGAAAATGTGTCATGGACACTTCTGTTTAACATTTAAAATTCCCTATCAAACGATACCAAGTTAAAAAAAATCTTAAGAGAAATGACTGATATATCACGATTTTAGTTGTGAATATAGTCGGAATGAGACTAAGCTAGCCAGGTTTTCTTCAATTTACAACTAAAAGACTTAATATTTAAATTATTTTTATTCGATCGTTTTGAACTGGAAGTAGTTTGATAGGAAATTTAAATGCTAACCAAAAGTTTTCTTGACGCTTTTTCATACAATCTGCCATTTTCAGTAATTTGGATTTTAAAAATTAAAATGCCTGCCATTTTGAAATTTTTAATTGGACCAAGGTAATTATTTTCCCTAAAATTGGTATGTAGGTGTTTTTGAACACCCTGTTTATGTGTGTGTCCGTTGGCACAATAAATCACACAAAAATGATCCGATTTCGATGAAATTTTGTACAATTGTGTAAACCTACGTTTCTTCGAATAAGTTCACGAACCAGCTTGACCGGACCATGGGAACGGGATGGTTGGGGTGATTTATGGGGTAAAAATTGGGTTTTCTCATTTTTGACCATCAAAACATAGAAATCCCTAATTTATCTCTAAAAAATTGTGAAGAGCTTAGGCAAACAAATAATTTAGTATACTGATGTTTTTTTGCATGGCTATTGGTTACGGAGATAATTCAAAGAATTGTAAATTTAAAATTATTCTTACGGATAATAAATAAACTGTTTTAGTTTGCTTGTTTGTAGATATATTTTGATGAAACTGGGCAAATTTATTTATAAACTAAACTATTATTATATTAATAAAAACTCACTTTATAACTCTCCCTGTGGCAGCAAACCTGGGTACTCATAAAAACGAACGTTATTGAAATAGATTTAATTGAATATCAAAATAGGCAAATGGAACTCACTTGGTCTGCAGGTTTGCTGTGGTGGGGGAACCAATTCCATGAAAAGTAGAGAAGGCATCACAACCTGTGATTGCAAGGAAAATTAATAGGTTGATGCAGATCTCTGGAGGGAGTTGAAAACACAAAAAACTGTTACATTTGTATTATTTTAATTATTAACGGCCGCCATTTTGAAACGACTTAATCAAATTCGACCATTGACAGACAACCTGGGCTGAGATAATGTATTCAAGCACTTGTATGCCAAATTTCATTAAAATCGGTTCAGGCAATTGGAGGTTATAATAACCGATTCATGGCGACCCTTGCATCCTTTTACACCCGCTATCTTGATGACGTCATTACGGACGACCTAGGTCTTTAAAAATTGGGGTCTGGGCAGTTTTACGTTCAGGGACTTCTATACTATGCTACCACCTCAAGTGTTGCATGTTCCCCGCCAGAACTGAAGTATTAAGCCACTTTATACAACCACAATATATACGTTTTGGTCCCACAGTTGCGTTACATGAGAGTGTACTTTGACACTCGCCAATTACGTCAATATTGCTCAAACATTGTTATATTATACATGGAAATGAAGCGGAATTTAAAGCTCTACATGATCGTTGAAGGTAAAATCTGCATTTCCTCAATAATAATGGCAAAAACCCCCAAAAAGTAAGAATATGTCTTATTTTTTTACATATTTTAAAGTTTAATTTGTTTTTTCACTATTAAAAATCATATCACTATCATTTAATATGGTATTTTCTTGTAGATAATATTATGCCGAAGAATCTAAGACTAACTAGACTTTTCTAGATGGAATGGTTTGGGAACAATAAGTTTTTAAGTGGAACCTTGCAGTGTTTTACAGATTGTCCGCCATTTTCCAAGATGGCGGATTTTGCTACAGTGGGAAAAGTTGGGAATTTTCACAAAATGTTAAGGGAAGCATGCCTAACACATTCCAGTTGGTTTTGCTTTGTTATTAATTTTGCCCAGGTAAAAGTCTAAAAGGCCTAGCCTACATTATTTAACAAACAAAATACGCCTTAAGTTGTATTTTAACTTATTCATAATCAATTCCGTACACTTTGTTCGGCTAAAATTTAAGGATGATAGATAGAATCCAGAGGTCATGCATGGTTTGTTACCTGGATCAGCTGTTAGCATGGGGGGGGGGAGGTGGAGCACATCTGTGTGACCTCAAGGTCAACCATTGTTGCGAGATTAACAAGCTTCTCAGAAACTGAGCACGAGACACGGCCGCTGCGAAGTCAACGCCACGTTTTGATGATTCAAAACACTCAATTCACGAGAAAAAGGACATTCGTTTGACAAAATATAATTGGTATAACATAAAGCACGAACCATATTAAAACAGAAATCTCTTAAACTACTGTTTTAATCGTAAAAAGGGTTTGCTGTTTCGCCATTTGTCTAGTACAAAGTATAGTACTTTTAGTACCAGTAGTACCCTACCTTTTTCCAAACGATAGTTATATCGGTGATTGTGTCGAACAAGGTGACAACTGATAGTTTTGCCTAGTTTCAAAACAGCCATGCTTTATACTATATTTACTATATGCGTTACTATATTGGAATTATTGACTTATGTCCCTGAGTTTTAAACTTAATTTTCTGTTTTATTGTATGCATGAGATGAAATTATTGTATACAGTAGTACATTACTTCATCTATGGTAGTACTGCAGTTAATCACGAATCTTAGTAATGGCCAATTTGATAAAAAAAAAATATTCAACTTCCAATGCTTGGATAACGATATTATGAACATTTAGCCAAAGATTTACCTTGCTTTTGCTGATCGATTGCTTAACTGTATTGCCAGTCCAAATTCTTACCTTTATTGTTATTGTTTTTTCACAATTATTTTGTACTTCATTGTTAATTATTGTTTTCCTAGTCATGATTATATTTCCTGTTACCAATGTTGCTCTGATCCTGCCATAGATTTAAGTTAGTTGTTAAGTTTTCTGTTAAAATGCATGTTGTTACCACATAGGCTTCTTGTATCCACATTGTAAATTGGTGATATATTGTCGTTGGAATAAATAAATAAATAAAATTTGAATTAGGCTAATTATATTTTTATCCTTTTTGTGTGTCCTCATATGTGTTGCTTTTAAGAATCATCAAAGAAAAAGAAATGTTGCACATTTTAACCCAGCTCATTTTCCGATAATAATAAGTTAGTATAATTGCTACCTATACAAAGGATCGGTCAAAAATATCTTTAAAAGTCTTCAATTATTAATCCTTCGTTCAGACTCTATTTTTTGAAGTTTCGATAGCAGCAAGACACCGACAACAGTGACGCGACGCCGACGGCAGGCTTTGTAGATAAGAGATAGACTAGAGGCTCAAATCATCTGTTATCATATCATAGCATCGACAACTAGGTCGTCGGCAGACAAGTTTGTTGTGCCGGCAGCGACCAAGGTAAATTAGGCCATTGACTTCAGACACTGCAAGACAATGCAGAAAAGTCTGAAAGCGTTTATTTTTTCTCTTAGTTTTGAGTATTTACAGTAAGTACTTTATACCCTAAGTTAAACCTGAAACAAAAGAAAACGTTTGAGAATAAATCGTTCTATATTTTGCTATTAAAGGTGGGATGTTGGTAAAAAACAAAACAAAAACTAGGCACAAAACCACAAAAACTTAAAATTGTCCTAATAAGTTGTTTTACGGTAAATATATGTGTGATTAATGTATGATTTGTGCCAATGGCGATCGCGAATCCAACGAGTACGAGGTTAGTTATTTTATGTTTAAAATGCGGTTCATATGTTGCCTTTGTTGGGTAGTGCGTCCAACTTTGTTCGGTCAGTATAATAAAATGTGAAGTGAAGTCACAGCACACACTTTTGTCTGTCAATTTGTGCTTTTCTATTGCTTCGCCAAGTCTTAGTTTCTCAATAAATATGTCATATGGGTATCTGTAATCTAATTGACAAACGTTTTGAATAAAATAGTCAATGCTGATGGTCATACACATCTATATATTAATAGGCAAGCATGTTTCTTTAAAACCTTTTTTCTCAGCTCGTGTGCATCGCAGGGAAAATCTACGCATACCGTACTGTTGGAAAGATATTTACCTGTAGATGTGCAGGATCCCTTTATAAATTAAAATAAGCCCAAAAATAAGCACAAAAAATCAATCTAAAATTTTGAAAAAATTAACATGGATCTTATGGGTTGCCATGCTGGTGATGAAATAACAACGAAATATAAACAGAAAATCAAAACAATGGAAGAAACTCCAATCACATGTTTTATTCACAGTGTGGGATGAAAATAAAGAAGTCTGTACATTAAATATTTTTGGTCGAGTTTCGACCACTGGACGACCTCTAGTAGAAATTAAATATGTATCCAGTTATTTCCATAATATGCATTTTTAAGTGAATACACAGATAAGAAAAACGTGACAATGACATACATTAGTTAGGTATAGGCCTACTGTAATTAATGGAGCTTTCTTGAGCATCCCCTGAGTAAACACTTAGTCATAGTCATGTAAAATTTGCATAAATTGTATGTTTATGTGTATAGTAGTGATATAATAACTTATTTGATATTATTTTGGTAGACTGCGATACTACTCCTTCACATCATTAGGGCACGTAGTTATAAAACAGTACCGAGATATTCCCTTTTGAAATATAATGAAATTACCTTCTGTAAACTAAACGAGACAAACAGATGTCTTCAAACCGTTATTGTAATACAAATAAACAAACTTACCAAGTAGCGATGGGAAGAGAGCGAAGTGAACGCCATCTACGGGCGGAGTCATGCAACTACAGCACAGAGCAGGACTGGGAACTTGAGAAGTGGAAGTGGTAACGCCGCAACAATCGACTAGCTGCCAACTTAACTGCTGTCAGTGCAAAATTTCCCTAGAGAAAATAATGTCCCCGTGATTTGAAATTTGCAGTATCATTTCAACTGTTTGTGTTGTGTCATTGTCATAGATGGCGTTATAGCCTATCACATATTGGACATACATAAGTAATTGATAACTTTTTTTAAGACAAATTTAATACTTAATAGTACTTTAATAGTAATTATATCATTAACAATGGGAAATTGTGCATATCGTTTTTGCCTTGTAAGAAGGAAGGTTGCAAAAGCTTGTAATAATAATGTACTATTTTTTTTAATCTCTGTGTTACTGTTTTTTTTTATATCTTTAAATATATGTATGTTATTACTAATCAGTTACAATACAATGTCACTAGCGCGTGTTCACTCCATGTCACACTCTAGTACTGCACTTATTCATTTTGTTTTTTACAATAACATTTGATAATTCACTATTTGTCATTTATTTATAAATTACTTTGGTAATTATTGTTGAATACGTTTATCGTTGTTCTGTGTGATATTACCCCTGCTGCAGCATACCTGCAGACTACATAAATTTCCATTTGTACCTGATTGGATTTTCAACTGTAATAGCTACTTCCCTACAGGGAAATTCACTAAAATGTTGATATAGTTCGGCCGCTTAGAAAGCGACCTCCTCCAGCATTGGTTTAGCATTAGCGCTCAGGACGTTTTCTAAGCGGCCGAACTATAGTTGCTGGATTTGTTTTAACCATTGACCTTTATATAACAATATGGACCAGCTGTAACCATCTTTTTTAAACAGATGAATCAGTCATCCACAGAGTGTTCTAGGTTTAAAGCTAGAACAGCTTCCTTATGTGTTGTTAAATTAGTTAAAAATTAACTATAGTTACAAATGAATTGACTTTTCAGGCTAGTTTTTTTATGTTGGTTATTTTACAGAAATCACAATCAGTGATTTAAATAATTTTCACTATAAAGAAAAAACCGTCAATAAATTTTACACGGAAATAGAATGACTACTTCTTTTATAGTCAAAGATTTGAGTAATAAAAAAAAAACTTGTAAACAACTTTTTAAAAAAATTTTATAAACTCTAAAATTATTTAATATGTTGAATAGGAAACAAATATAAACAAGAATGTATTTTTTATTGTTAATTTATTAATAGATTTAAATGTTTGCAAGATAAAAAGTGTACGTGTACTGGTGAAATTACCTGCTGTCAAGTGATCCTTTTGACCTAGTTTTCAGGGTCAAAAGGATCACTTGACAGCAGGTAATTTCACCAGTACACGTATTGATCAGTGATTCGGAGGCTTAATTCAAACAAAATGAAAAAATAAAAAGTATATTCCTAAAATAGGGAATACAATAACATTTTTATAATTTTTTGTTCAGTAATCTATATAATTAATACGCGACATGAAACTTTGTCGATTGAACTCCTCCGCCATTTCTTAACCGATTTTATCCATTGACGTCTCATTGGAAAGAGCGTGTCGCGTAGATTTGCAAACTGGCCTTACATTTTTGAAAAAGTTCCTTGGCTCTGCCCCAGTGGCTTCGAAAGTTCCCACGTTATCCTTATGCAGAACATAATTGTTTACATTCTGATCAGCTGTATAATATTATTGCATTACATTTTTTACTATTTGAGTTTGTGTAAACATATCCCCCAAGACGGATCGTGTTAGTATGGCTGTATCTTAAATTTGTGCATTTATCGTGGTTTTGTGTAGCTATAATTTGTTTATTTGTTTCTTTCTTTTAAATTCCTCCGACGCGACGACAACGAAACATGGACAGGAGGCGTAGTAACTCATCACAGTCAGCACCTGACCCTGGACAATCTCAACTATTAGGTTACCAATGCGCCCTAACACTACCCCAAAACGAATTTTCGTTCTCAATTGGCCCTCTATCAATGACCTGTATTGCCTGTACAGCGAGGCATTTTGAGAAGGAGAAAACCGACCGGAATGCTTTAGGTTTATCAATAAAAAAGATAAACATGGACAACCTTATTTGGCTATAAGTCAGGAAATGTTTGTAGAAAACATTAAAAAGCAATACCAGGTTACGAAATATGATCAAATATTTACAGGAAATGTTTATTACCGTTATATACATCGTGAATTTCTCCATGAGTTACACACCGATAATCTTTGAGTTGACTCTTTTAAACTCATTGTAAATATGACCTGTGCAATTCGTTTTGAAATAACTCCTGCAATACTTTGCAATTGCTCGAATTCTAGCAACATGTACACTAGTGCTATATTAATCAATCAATGTAATCTATAAAAGACTTTACTTATAAACTAAATTGTTTCTTAATATTTATGAACAATTTTATCTAAACCACTAGACATATTTTAACTGTGATGAACTAATTTTGAGTTTAATGAGAATGTCCCATGTATGAAAACACTTTCTACATATTTCATTCCTCATTTCCCCTCGTCAAGTAGATATTCCATCAATAGTTCCATCAGACCCTAATGACAGCTTGGATATCGAGAGAAAATATGTTGTGCATAAGTAAGCATTTGAGACATGCGACCACTCAGAAATCTAACATCAGTTGTCGAGGAGGGCAAAATGGACAAAATAATAAATTTTGACGGAATGAAAACTTTTAAAGTAGTATACGGAGTAGCAGGCTTTTATCCTGGAGAGGATGCTTGTAGACTACGTAGGGCTTACTATTTGCTATCAGACTTTATAATTTTTTGTGTTCTCCTCGCTACAGTTTATCAGCTTCTTACTCACCCTTCTGATCAAAAAGAGTCTTTGTCGGTCAGTCTTGTTGTGACCATTGCTTACTTGCTAACCCTCTACTACTCGTTGTGCTTTCGTCTGCAATACCAGAAGATTGTTGATATGAAAAAGATGCTGGAAGATGTAGCTACTTCTCTCTCGCTGGAGATAAACAAGGAAGCGGTTGTTAAATCAACTCGTCATGACGTTCGTTACCACAAGATCTACGTTATGTGTGGGCTGTTCACTGCGGTCATGTCAGCGATTCTGTTCTCCATCCAACCTTTGCTACGAAGCTTAGGGTTTTTCGGTAAAGACGGCCAGAAGGTGCTTCAGATCGACACCTGGTGTCCTTACGACTGTCACGCTGCAATAAAATTTGAAATTACAGTCTTCGTGCAGTTTGTTACTGTATTTTGGGTCGCAGTAAGATTCTTTGCAAATGATTCATTCTTCATGTTTGCAATAAAACTGAACATACAGTATTTCAAACTTTTGAAGAGCCTAGGAAAGAGTGTGCTAAGTCACATATCAGACATACAACTAGTTGGAGAACAAAAAGACAATACAGTATTGAAGGAAAATAATTTGAAAGTGCTTCAACCTCTTGATGGAAAAGAAATTAGATTTAAGAGGTCTTCAAGCATTCAGTATAACAAGTTGGAGTTGGATGAGAAATCAGAAAAAATGGCTAATGATAAATTAATTATTTTCATTAAAGAGCACCAGATTGTTTTAAGGTACAGTAAATACATCATCCGAGTTTTCAATAGGCTATTTTGTTTATAAACTATTTCATTTTTCTAATTTGTTGAGCACCCGTTCTTCAGTGGCGGCGATTAGGCTTGAGAGGTGGGGGGGGCGAAATCTAGATTTATTGTTGATATAATTCTATTTTATAATTTTGATATGTATTCCTTATGAAAGTGGGGGGGCGACTGCCCCCCCTGGCCCCCCCTAAACGCCGCCTCTGCCGTTCTTCGTACGGGATTGGCGTATAAGTATCAAATGTTTATTGCAGTTATACTCAATCTCTGCGTTTTTAATGAGGCAGAACCCAATTTGAGAAGATTTGGTTCTTTTAATCTATGGTATGACTAGCTGTACCCGCGGGCTTTGCCCCGTTTAACTTCACAAGTGAGCTCGTTCGCATGGCTCAAACTACGTCCTGGTTGCAGTTCGTTCGCTACGCTCACTCACCTTTTGGTTGCAAATTGGCTGTAGTCAGAAATTTAAAAAAATAATAGTGCTGCACCCTGTTGGTAATCCTTGTAACTTTAATGCTATTGAACATCATAGAACAGAACCAACTTGTTTAATTGAAACAGCTGTTAAGAAATTCCTTTCCAGTATGAAAAATCATAAGGTTAACATGGGAAACTCCAGAGCCACTGGGGCGGAGCCCGAAAGCCCGATCAGAATAAAAACTACTTAGTTTTCCTATTTTATGCCCAAAGAATCGGCGTACCGAATTTCAGCCTCCTAGGTAAATGGGAAGTGGGAGAATTAGTGATGAGTGAGTGAGTGAGTCAGTCAGTGAGGGCTTTGCCTTTTATAGATTTAGATATTGTATAATACATCTACCATAGCCATTATAATTTTCTATCACTTCACCTAAACAATATAGAAAAGAGTAAATTACCAAATATTTGCACAATATCACAAATTATTTATAGATCAAAAATATAAGCATAACTGTAAAAATAAATCCTACATGGACGGTTCCCATCGTATATCACAATAAATTGTTTGTTACTGCTTGGTTCAAATTAGCTGTTGTCATAAATGAAAAACATTAATAGTGCTGCACCCTGTACATAAATCTCATAACTTTTTAATGCTATTAAATATCATAGAACCAACTTGTGTAGTTGAAACAGCTGGCAAAATTATTTAATTCCTTTTAGCGAATTTCCCATACAGGGAATATTAGCAAATTTTCCATACAGGGAATAAGCTATTACCGTAGTACTCATGGTAAGACCTGGACGCGGGACCGATTTTTTTTTGTTTTGAGGTCCCTAGAGGCCAAAATCACCATCCGTTCAAATTCATATATATATATATATATATATATTTATAAATAATTGAAAACATTATAAATACATTAGTACCCTTTTTAAATTCATTTTTAATTAATAAACGACATGTTTCGACACTTAGGTCATAGTCATGTTTACATTTACA